CGTGTGGATAGTGCCACAAACTCGCTGGAGGCCATCTTTCTTGATGGCACACGGCAGAAGTTGAAGGTGTTCGCTGTGCGACTGGCCGGTGTTTCTGGAGAAGAGGAACTATTTCGCCAATGGAAGAAGGATGCGAGTACACGTCCGGTGCGAACTGTGTACGTGGGAATGGAGGGAGGTGCCTCAACGCCAACACCACCTGTTGCATCTCCATCTGTACATGATGGGAGTAACAGTGACCATAACCATATGAATGGTGAGATGAGGGGGGATGATGATAATAATGCTATTAATAATAATAATAAAAAGAATGTAATGGTGATTTTTCTTTTGTGTTTTGTTTAGAGATTGATGATGTGCTGACTTTGCTTATCTTGTTTGTTTGTCGTGCTTTTCCTCATAATTGCGGTAACTGGATCACCTATAATCCACATTGTTGACTGTTCCAAAATTTTGTTTTACACTCTTTTCCACATGTAGATATTTACATTATTATAAAATTCAACCATGAGCACGGAATCTGAATTGCAGGCCAAATACGATGCCGCCGTCAAGCGCTATGAAGCTGCTGCACAGGCCGAGACAGCTGCTAAGAAGGAAAGGGATGAGAAAGAGGCTTGGGTACGGAAAACACAGAAGGGCACCAAACAATATTGTCTCGCTTGGGCAGAAAAACACAGGGCAGAAATAGCTTTTACTGAAAAGGTTGAACAAAGACGTGATGCTGAGTATAAGAGAGATTTGTGCTACGTAGATTGTATGAAATACAGGCACGGAGCTGACTCCAAGGAAACGCAAATAGCCCAGCATCGCGCAGAGTTGGCTCACACAATGGAGTTTGTTCACAGTAATAGCTCTCCATATTGGATAAAATGGGATAAATTGAATTACAAAGCTTGGTTGGTGTGGAGTCAGCTTAGGGCAGAAGGTTATGTCAAGATTGCAGATGATCTCATAAGGGCAAGAGAAGTGTTTTGTGATCGTATAAAAGAAGAATCCAATGGTAAAACCTTTCGCAATGCTCGGAATGCAGCCTTATCAGCGTTGAATAAATGGGAACGAGAGAATGATCGTGTCGCCTGGGATAAGGCCAAACCAGAGTACGACGCTGCGTTAGCCAAGTGGAATGAGTTCAAACCCAATGGTGATCAATATGCGGAGGAGTTGGAGGTTGAAATATGTGAACTTGTGAAAAACTCATTAACAGTGTACGCTATTTTAAGTAAGTGTAAGAGTAGTGCGTTGAATGACCTCGATCGGAAAAGTCAAACGATTGACGATTTAAATGATCAACTGGACCAGAAGGATGAACAGATCGCTGCGTTGAACAATAAACTACACCAAAAGAGTCAAGAAAATAAAGAAAATCGCACATGGATAGGACCGTTGATGCACACGAATCATTCATTGAACAATTCGCTATGTAAACAGGTTGAAGAATTCGATACTTTCCAACATCTCATACTAGGGGAAGAGTCTCAAAATTGGTTAGAAGGGAAGACGTCCTCG